CGGGGAAACGTCACCGTGAGGGAGACGGGCTGGTGGTCGCTGAGGTAGCCGTCCGTCCGCTCGACCTTGGCGTCGGAGAAGGCCGCGCCCGGCGACGCGAAGGCGTGGTCGATGGTGCGGTCCGGCGCGGGCGACGTCCAGGGCTTGTAGGTGTCGATGCGGTCCTCCGGTGACGCCCAGAGGGGCACGGTCGACGCGTAGAGCGGCGCGACGGGCGTCTCGTCCTCCGGGTAGAGCGCGGCCTCGTCCTTGGACAGCGTCGCCGCGGCCTCGTAGGGCGTGAGCGAGTTGAAGTCGCCCGCGAGGAGCCAGTTCCTCGTCTGCCGCGGCAGGATGGTCTCCCGGAGCGCCGCGACCTGGCGCTCGACCGTGCCGTCGCCGAAGGAGAACGCGGACAGGTGCGTGTTGAGGAGCGTCACGGCGGAGTCGCCCGCGAGCGGCGTGGCTAAAACCGCGCGCCGCAGGTTGAAGAGGCGCCGCAGGCGCGACTCTTTGAGCAGGGGCAGCTGGTAGCGCGTCGCCCCGCCGAGCGCGTACCTGCTGAACGTCGCGAGGTGCATGCCGATGCGGCCGACGTGGTCGTGTTTGGGGTGCGGCACGTAGGGCACGCGCCAGTAGGCCGCGCTCGCGCGGTTCACGAGGCCGACGGCCGCCAGCTTCTCGCCGACGACGGCCAGCTCGTCGATGCGGTGGGTCCGCGCGGACCGCCGGTCGACCTCCTGGAGCAGGACGACGTCCGGCGCCAACGCCGCGAGCGCGTCGCCGATGGCCTCCGTGTGGAACTCGACCTCGTGTCGCGGCGTCGACACGGCGTCGCCGCCGTCGTAGAAGAAGTGCTGGCGGATGCCCGCGCCGTACTGGATGTTCCAGACGACGACCTTGAGCGGCTTTGACGCGTCGTAGGTCGGCGCGCCGGGCGCGTTGACGAGGCCGCAGGGCTTCGTCTTGCCGAGCACCTTCGCGGCGCGCGCGAGGGGGCGCAGCGACAGCGACGTCGCCGTCGACGCGAGCAGCAGCGCGGCCGCGAGGGCTCGCAGCGTGATGCGCATGGCTCGCATGGCACTGCGCATAAGGAGGCTTCAAGCTCGTGAGAATCTCATGAGCTCAGTGCTGTGCTCCTTGACCTTCACCTTGCACTCTCATAACTCCAGGGTGATACGGCCTTCGCAGAGCGCGCTAGTATGTTGGCGCTTTCGCACGCGTGAGCGCGACTGCGGCGGCGCCTCCGCGCCGAAAGCGAGCGAAAAAAGAACCATGCTCGCGGCCCTCAAGGGCGCCGGCGGCGGCGCCGGCGGCGGCCGGCGGTCCTCGGTCAAGGACCGCATGTCGGTCCTGCGCGGGAGCGTGCTCGGCGGCGGCGGCGGCGGCGGCGAGAAGAAGAGCGCCCTGTGGGACGGCGCCTTCGGCGGCGGCGGCGGGAAGCAGAACCCGGCCATGCAGGCCGTGCTCTTCCACGACCTCGAGCCCGCCAAGGAGGGCGAGGACGCGGAGAAACGGCAGCCCGTGTCCGAGAGCATCGACCTACAATTGGACTGCGAGTCGCTCGTGGAGCTGGCCAAGGAGAAGCTCGCGTACGAGCGCGACGTGCTCCTCTTCCGCGACCCGGCGGGTCTCGAGCCCATCGAGGACCAGGAGGCCTGGGACGCGCTGCGCGACGGCTGGAACAGGGGCGTGTCCGCCAGGCGCACGGAGAAGGTGCGGCAGCTCGCGGCGACGGCGACGGACAAGTGCCTGGGCCTGAGCGCGGCCGAGGCCGAGGCCCAGGGCTCCGACTACAGGAGCGCGCCGCCGCCGGCCGCCGGGTCGCCGGAGGAGTTGAAGGTCGGCCGCGCCAAAATAAAAGGCTTCGAGCAGCTCTACGAGCTCTTCGAGCAGTTCCAGAACCTGACGGGTCTGGAGACCGCCGGCCGGCGCATCGCCTTCGCCGTCGCTGATTGCCTGCGGCCCCAGGCCCACCAGCAGGAGATCGCGAACGCGGCCGCGTTGGTGGGTTGGAAGATGTGCGAGCGGTCCGAGTTCATGGTCCGCGCGCTCATACGGTACCGCTGCCCCGAGCTCTGCGTGTCCTTGCTCCAGGCGAGCGCGGCGCACGCCGTCGACGTGAAGCGGGGGTCCGCGTCCGCGCGGAAGAAGGCGGAGCGACGGGAAACGTGGCTCCGCGACGTCTACGGCCAGGCCGCGCGCGAGCGCGGCAAGATGGGCAAGCTGAGCGGGGCCATCGCCGCGTCGCGCGGCGGCGGCTCGGAGGTCGTGGAGGGGGCCCTCTTCTGCGCGCGCGCGTCCCTCGGCGGCGGCTTCGCGACGATCGGCCTCTTGGACGCTCTCGCGGCGCGCGACTCGCACGCGGCCAAGGTCCTGAGCGACTGCGCGCCGACGTACCTGCTGGGCGTCGCGACGTCCGACGGCGACCTGGCAGAATGCTCCATCGCGGCGTCGACGCTCTGCACGGCGTTGGCGCTGTCGCGCGCCGCGCGGCAGCAGGTGCTCCAGCGGCCGCGCGCGTTCGGCGAGCTCGGCGCTTTGCTCTACGCGTCGTCGACGAACATCAACTTGCTGGGCTGCACGGTCGTCGGCGCGCTCGTGCGCGAGAAGTGGAGCCGCAAGCTCGTCCCGCCGGACCAGGCCGCGGAGACGTTCGGCACGCTCGTGGCGGGGCAGCAAAAGAGAGCGAAATTCCCAACTTCAAAGGCTCCGATCTCGGCCGTTTTCCACTCGTTTCGGCTAATTTTTGGACGAGCGATCATCTCTCGGAACGATCTTGAAGCGTGGATGCTTTTCCCGGAACGCGCGCGCGCGGAACACTCACGTTGAAGCGACGTTGAATCACCCTTGTGCTGCCCAGGCTCATGGCGCTCATCAAGTGGTGCGCGGACGAGATCAGCGGCGGCGGCGCGCCGAACACCTTCGAGCAGAGCGAGCCGAGCTCCGGCGCGCGGACGAAGAACCTGTCGCATTTACGGGAAGAGGCCTCGGACGAGAGCTCGCACAGCTCCTACCAGAGCGACGACTCGTCGATCGTCCGCTCCGCGATCACGGGGCCGCGCGCGTCCCTCTTCTCCAAGTCCTACGGCTCCGGCGACGGCTCCGGCAAGGCCGTCGACGCCGCCATCTACAACCTGATCGGCCAGGCCTGCCTCGCCGCCTGGGGCTGCGCCGCGTCGCTGCTCGAGAAGGACCCCGGCGAGCTCGACCGGCTCTACGAGCCGCCCATCGCGTCCTGGAACCAGTCGCCGGAGCCGTCGCCGGCGCCGTCGCCGCCGAAGCCGAATTTGAGGCAGCGGGGCCGCGCGCCGGAGCCCGAGAGGGACCCCGACGGCTCGCACGACGGCGACGAGTCCGACGACGAGCTGGGCGGCATGTCGCCGAGCCGCCTCGTCAAGGCGGACATGGGCGACGAGTCCTGGATCGAGCTGCTCGTGCGCGTCGCGGGCATGGACGACGTCATCGACCACGCGTCCGCGGAGGCCGCCGCGGGGTGCCTCGCGGTCGCCGCGTCCGGGCCCGGCGGCTGCGCGGCGATCTCGCGGGCGTCCAAGGTGCCCGGGCTGCTCCTGGACCGCTTCTGCGATTTGCTGGAGAAGTCGGGGAGCCTGCGCGTGCGCGTCTGCGCGGCCCACGCGCTCGTCAGCGGCACGCTGAAGCCGTCGCGGTCCGTGAACGCGTTCTACACCGGGCGGGACAAGGGCGCGACGTGCCCAACTTCAAAGGCTCCGATCTCGGCCGTTTTCCACTCGTTGCGGCTAATTTTTGGACGAGCGATCATCCCTCGGAGCGCTCTCGGATGCTGTTTTCGAAACGCGCGCGCGGAGAACACCCACGTCGAAGCGACGTCGAATCACCCGTTTCCCGCCCAGGTTCTACACCGGCTGCATCGCGCGGCCGAACAAGCGCGCGGGCCGGCGCACGCGGGGCACGATCACGGGCGCGACGAAGGTCGGCTCCGTGGACGCGGAGGTGCTCGATTTGGCCGACTCCGTCAAGGACGACCACGTGCTCCACACGACGATCCTGCAGAACATGGAGACGGCGAAATTCAAGCCGCGCGCGGACGCGCGCATCGTCGACGTCATCGACGACGAGATCGGCAGCCGCAAGCTCGAGGCGGCGACGGCCGCCGTGCTGCTCAACCTCGCGCTCCACGCGTGCCCGACGGCCGCGCGGACGGAGGCCGTGCTCAAGCAGCACGTCGCGATGATCGACGCGGACTGCTTCGGCGAGAAGTCCGCGGGCATGCTGCGGAGCGTGCTCCGGCGCGGGTGCCTCGCCGTCTGGGCCCTCGCGCGCACGCGGACGAACCGGCGGCGGCTCAACGACGTCGACTGCGCGGGCGCGCTCGCGGCGACGCTCGGCGGCGGCGCGTCGCTCGCGACGAAAGAGGCCGCGCTCGCCGCCCTGTGGCTGCTGGCCTGCGACGAGGCCGGCGCCGTCAAGGTCGCCCTCGCCGCGCCGACGAACTCGAGCGCCGAGTTCCGGGAGAACGAGAAGCGCGACTCCGCCGTCCACGAGCCGCCGCGCGACTCCAACGCGTCGTCCAAGGCCGCGTCCCTGGAAGACAAGCCCGAGCTGCCCGAGCTCGCCGTGAGGCCGAGCCACGCGACGCTGGCGCGCACGTCGACGATCCCCGTGACCGTCGGCATCGCGTCCTTCGACCCGAACCTGCCCGGCTACTGCACGATCCGCATGCTCGCGCTGGGCCTGCTGCACAAGCTCTGCATGTCGTCCCTGGACATTTTAAATATTGTCGCGGCCTACGCGACGGACCTCGCGCCCATCATTTTGAATACCGCGCACGACCCCGTGCCGCACGTCGCCAAGGGCGCGGCCGCGCACCACGACTACCTCGAGGGCGCGCGCCACTACGGCAAGTTCCGCCAGCGGCGCGGCGTCGTCTGCGCCATCGGCGCCGACGACGTCGAGGGCGCGTCGCACCGCATCATCCACGACGACGGCTCCGCGAGCTCCGAGTCGACGGCGAGCCTCGCGCCCCAGGCCGCGAAGCGGCTCCAGATCCTGGCCGTGGAGACCTGCTTCCGGTTGGCGGAGTGCGAGGAGGGCGCCCGGGCCATCGCTCGGGCGCGGGGCACGAAGGCCCTCGAGGCGCTCTGCGCGACGCTCCTGGTGCACCCGCGCCACTACGCGCTCCGGACGATCGGCGCGTTCCGCGCGGCCAAGCTCGCGCAGTCCACGGCCTGCCGGCGCCAGCTGGTCCAGTGCAACGCCATCGAGCTCCTGGTGTCCAACTTCCACGACCCCGACGCGCCCGCCGCGCTCCGCATCTACGCGCTCCACAGCCTACTGAATCTCTCGGGCGAGACGCGGATCCAGCCCAGGCTCTGCAAGTCGGCGCTGACGCCCCTGCTCCGGATCGCCCGCGTCGCCGACGACCTGCCCGTGGCGCCGCCCGTGAAGCGCACGGTGCTCGACGCCGACGGCGAGGTCGTCTCGTGGCACCACGACGCGCCCCACGCGCACGACGACGCGAAGTCCGAGGCGACGTCCTACGACCGCATGACGAAGCTGCGCATCCCCGACGACGACAACGAGACGGCGAAGATGGACCGCGACCTCGATCTCGAGGCGCGCTACGCGCAGTCGATCCTGGCGAACCTGTCGAAGAACGTGACGTGCCGCGCGCGCATGTACCAGCGGCACCTCAAGCACGCGTCGCAGGCCCTCAAACGGACGATCCGCGCCGACGACGCCATCTCCGCGTCGGAGTCCATCTCGACGGCGAAGCACATCGTCGACGACCGCACGCTGTCCGACTTCTTCGCGAACGCCAAGGACCGCGACTTCGTCTCGGAGAAGATGGCAAAGCGCTACAACCAGATCGTCGCGATCCACGCCAAGGGGCCCACGGAGGCGCAGCTCCAGAGGCTGCGGCGCAACTTCCACGACCCCGTGTCGCGGCTCTGGGAGGAGCCGCCCCTCGACCTCGACGCGCCGCCGCGCGGCGGCGCGGACGTCCTGCGGCTCGACGACGACGACGACGACGACGACTGGGGCCAGACCGTCGTGAGCGGTCTCGGCGACCCGGGGTCCCCGGGCGGCGACCCCCTCGACGCCTTCG